CTCCTGGTTACCGGCCGGAACCTTGTGGCTCTGGCCTGTGTGCTGAAGCTGTCTGAAGAACGAAGGTGACAGTCTGTGTAGCACTGAGGAGCACGGGGAGGCGAGGGAGCCCGCACAGGGTGGTCGGGGGCCCACCATTTGTTCAAAGGCCCCACCCTCCACTTTTCCTGGCACTGATAAATACAAATCATAGGACGTTTTCCTTCTTTCACTATTTTCTTTTGCGAAATGCTAAAATATTTATACTTTGTTACAATTTGCTTATTTTAAATTAAATTTAGTCTGAGCATAACCACTATACTTGAAGATGAAAAACATTTTTTGAGCTTTTAGAAAGAAACATTAAAATCTCCTTCCTTAAGGGTACAAAGCCAAGAAAATAATTATTTTAAATGGCTATTTTCCCATTAATGAGTTATAGAGGCAGTAAATGTTTCTTGTCTGTAATGGCTCAAATGGAAATTCTGTACATGTATCTGGCTCTCGGTCAGATTTTGTGAAAGAGTCCAGGCCCACTATACAAACCCAAAGCCTGGTCTCCCCACTATCCCAGGTAGATTCTGCCAGAGACAGAACAACGCAGTTAAGATTCAAAGCCTGTGGGGTCCGCAGATCACAATGCCGCAAAGCACCACAGAACACTGAGGACCCAGCAGGCTGAATGTGAGTGGGTTGCAGGCAAAGCATGTCCTGAGCATCCCAGTAAAAAGCATGTCACTCTCACATGACTAATAATACAATGACCCACATACTGGCCGAGCATCCCAAATCTGAAATCCATAATGCTCCAAAATCCAAAACTTTTTAAGCACCAACATGATGCTCAACAAAAATGCTCATTGGAGCATTTCAGATTTTGGATTTTCAGATGTGGGATGCTCAAAAGTACGATGTAAATATTCCAAAATCTAAAAAAAATCTGAAATCTCAAACACTTCAGGTCCGAAGCATTTTGGACAAAGAATACTCAACCTGTACAATTCCAAGGAACTGAGGCCAGGACATTCATGTTTGTTTTCCTAAGTGTACTTATGCGGGTTTCCACACGGTTAGGCAAACAGCATATACTCAAAGGTAAGATTGGTTTCTCAGTTTTAACATTAAGTTG